CGCTGCTGTTTTTACAGTGGTAACCAAGGAAACGCTGTATCTGGTGAAGCGCCTCCTGCTGTCAGAGAGTGAATCTGCGTCTCATTCAGAGCTCCTGCTGTTTGCTTCGTTCAGGCATGTAGTATAAATTCACAAAGCTAGTCAGAACATTCTGTTTTTGCTTCAAATTGGGTTATTATTAAATCAAATTATGTATATTAAATTATATAACTAAATGATATGAAATGATAGAAATTATATGTATATGAATTGTATAACTAAAATTAAATAACTGTAATTACAGATTTAGATTAAATAAAGATGTCAGTCTTTTATTTTTCTTCTTTTTAGGAAACAAATTCTACTGTTCCTAATATTCTGTATGTTGCTCAAAAACAAAATATATTGTGTTCAGCGGAAATTATTTTATTTTTTTACCCAGTCATTTAAAAAATAACACATATAGAGCTGTAACGACAATACCGTGAAACCGTGATATTTTTTTGCTTAAGGTTATCATACCGTCAAAATCTCATACCGGCCCATGCCTAGTGTAGATTGGATGCTAACGAGTCGTTTTGGAGTGAGTTTTTTATTAACGCATCTGCCCGACTGCTGACTGCAGATAAGAGCGTTTGAACAGTAATAGTAATACTGAATTGGTTGCGAGCGCGGGAACAGTTGAGCGCTCAGTCATTTCTAACCGCACAAACCAACCACAGCTTGCTCAAGCAGAATGAAAGTGTTGTTGAACACACACACACACACACACACACACGCGCACGCGCAGTTGCTCAACGAGAGGCTACGTCACACTGAACGCACACTGAGCTGCTGTGAGTCTGCTTTACCTGCATCACAACGCTGCCAGTGCAGCAGGTTTTCATGCCGCACGTAACCACAAGTCTTTGTCTGAACGGGTATATGATAAGTTAACTCTAGGTGTGCACTCAGATTACTGAACATTTTTGGATACTGATGTTGCACTTAATATTTTGCATAAAGAAAATTAAAAATATTTTTTAAGAATAACAGTTAGGTTCATTAGTTAACATTGCTTAATGCATTATCTAACATAAACAAAAAAATTAGGTGTCTGTGTATATGTGTGTGTTTGCGCGCGTGTGTGTGTGTTTGTATTTTACAGCATTTATTAAACTTTGTTAATGTTAGTTAATACAAATATAATTGTTTCTATTCGCAATTTAAATTTGCGCAATTTGAAGGGTAATGGAAACGCGCCTAGTGATGAAAAAATTTATATAATAAAAATGTATTATATAAAATTTGATATATACTTTTTGAGTCATCATTATGATCATCTCAGATGTTTCTCATATAATTCATATAATGTAGAAATGAAAATTAAATTAAATTAAGGTGAATAGATCTGTGAGTAGATCCTAAAACTCCTAAAATTATTGATTGATTGATTGATTTTATTATAAAAAAGTAGTATTATAAAGAAGTTCATATAGTTATTGTCTTTTGCATTTTTCAAAACAGATTTGTTTTATTCAATTTAATTTAATTTCCCCAAAAGGAATTTTAGGGGAAACTTCTGAGTAGGGCTGCACGATTATGACAAAAATCACAATTGTCGATTATTCCCTTGAAATTGTAATTGCGATTATTAATTACGATTATCACAATTTACGTTGAATGATGCTTATACCATTGTTTGAAGCAACTGCATGCCATATTTTTATATGAAAATAAATAAGCTGAAAACACTCCAACTGAAAAACCTTTAGTGCTTTTCTATAGCATTAAGCCTCAAATGTCAACTGTACATTGGATTGGTTTCTTTTTTTTATATAGTTTTTATTAATTGTTTTTTTATTCATTTTAGTTTATTTAGTTTTAGTTATTTTAGTACATCAAGTTAAACCAAATGAAAATGAGAAATGTTAACTTGGCAACTATCTGACATAAAATAAGTTTAACTTTTTTGTATTTGTTTAATTTCAGTTAATGTTTATTGTATTTTAAATCATTTAAATGTTTTTATGGTTTTAATTTTAGTTAAGGATAATAAATACCATTTTTAAAAATGAAAATATAAAAAACATTGCTCATTTTAATTAAAAGTTTTTACGTGATTTTTGTAATTTTAATTTTTTATTTATTTTAGTGTTTGTTTTTCATTTTAGTACTTCAATTTAAACTAACCAAAAATGAGAAATGTTGAATTGGCAACTGACTGAAATAAAATAAGTTTAATTCTTATTATTATTATTTATTTAGTATTTTTAGGATACTAACCTGCAATGAAAACAATGCTTTTCCCTCAGAATTATTTAGTCAATTTCACAAATAATTACAAAGAATCTACTAGTACTATATACTTGCTTTGTAAAATCATTTTTACAGTATGGTTTCAATAATTTTAAATCATATAGCAATTTCATCAGTAATTTCCTTCACTCCTGGTTTAAACAGTGTAGTTTTTCAATGCATTGTAAATAAGGAAGAGCCAGTGAGATGTGAAATCCTGCACAGATCTGTGCTCTCTCAGAGATGTCGGTGATGATGAGAAGTCGTCGCATCAGCGCATGAATGAGCTGCAGCTGAAGTGTCTTCCGCTCTCTCGGCTGCGCTCTGTCGGGTTCGAGTGTTTCTCTGCAGGCATGTCAAGAGACGCCTCTGGGGAGGTGAGTGGGCCGCGCCGACGTCACTGCACTATTTCTGAATTCAGACGCTTTTCTTGCTCTCTGGCGCTCCTAATCTCTCTCACATCCTCCGGCGAGAAAATACAAGCTAGCCTTTTTTGGAAAGGGATGCCTCCGCTGGAATCGCCCCCGCCCCCCGGGCTTTGGGTTTTGAGGGTTCGAGTCTCACTAACCGCCTCTCATTTGTGGCGTTCAGACTGAAGTCATTGAGCTCGTCGACACACTTGAAGGAAATGCAGATGCGCTTTAATGGGTTAGTTCTGTATGATGTATCATGTGAGACGAGGATTTCTCCCATCATTCCTCACGACTGTCCTGCTCCCGGATGAGCAGACTCGCTGCGGCCCAGTTTTTCTTCATATTTGTGGTTTTGCAGCAGGTGAAGAAAGTTTGGTGTAACCTGCAGATATCTCATGAATGAATGTGTGACGGGGTTTCACTTCAGAGTTACTGTAGTATTATAAACATACTATTATATTTACCATTAATGTTTTGAATACATTTTTATTTTTATATTTTCTTTTTATTTTAATTTTAGCTTGTAATTTTGTTGTGTTTTTGTCATTTGTAGTAGTTTTTTGTGTATACATATATATATATATATATAGAGATGGATAGATGGATAGATAGATGGATAGATATAGATATATAGTACAACTGTGTGTGTATATATATATATATATATATAGCTAAAAAATTGAATATAATATAAAAAAATATCGGTCGGTCATCTGTCTGGGATGTTTTCCACATCTCCATCAACATTCCAGTGTGCAAATATCCCTGTTATGCAGGACACGACCGCACTTCGATCTGGCCTTGGTTCCCATCGCATTACAGCATTCTGGCTCTGTGAGTGTGAGAGTGTGAGACTGTGTGAGACTGTGAGACTGTGAGACTGTGTGAGACTGTAAGTTCATAAAAGCATCCAATCAGGTTACAACGTATCTTTAGGTTCAGTGTTAATAATGACAGCGTGAATGCAAAGTGAATCAGGACTAAATGTGTCATGTTCTGTTTTAGTCCGGACAAAAAGAGCCAAGAGAACTGAACTACTAATATGAACACAGCCTTAAACTCATCTCTAAGGCAGCATACATGCCCATTTTGATCAGTGCATATGATGCCTTAACGTGCTGTCTAGGTAGTGCTGTCTAGTTAGTGCTGTCTCTTCTATCTTCTGGATGACCGCCTCATCATCATCGTGGTGGTGTTGTGTTGATCTGATTGTGTTTCTGTCATGAATAGACTTGTGAATTGACTTCCTGCATTATGAGCGGGCCTGATTTAGAGACGAATTCCAGACATTCCAGGAAAACTCAGGGAAACATGTCAGGTGACGCGGTCACATGGTGTCAAACGCTGCTGCTCTTCAAGATGCCGTTAGCAGCAAAGTCTGTTTCACACTAAAAGAGAATCAAGCACACATACGCATTTATAACACGCATATATTATGCATATGTATATATATATATATATATAATTTTTTTCAGAAATTAACAAAGAAACAGCAAGTAACACATTGAATTAAACATGAAATTTGAAGTACAAAGATTGAAATCGTATCTTCTGTAAAACATACTCCAATGATCTTTAACTTTGAAAAAACATTTTTACAGTGTAATGAAAATCATTGTTTTTCCAATTTTTGTATTATATTTTTAGTTTTTTAAATCAGCATGAATTAATTTCAGTACAACACACATTGATGTATACATACAGTAATTGTCATTTGGAATAAAGAAAAAAGTGCTTAATTGTCAATTAAAGTAATGTCATAAATTAGGAATGTCTATTGTATTTTTATTTTTCAATTCTATTTTTTTTAATTGGCATACTTTTTTTTCTATTATATTTTTATTTTTTATTCAATTGAAAAATCTTTTTTACACTAATGAAAACCATAATTTTTTCCGTTTTTATTATATATTTTTTTCTTTTTTTTTAAATGGCATGAATTGAACAAATATTACAGTGTAATAAAATCATAAAAAAAAAATTTGTATTTAGTTTTTTTTTCTGTTGTTTTTTTTAAATCAGCATAAATTGATTTTTTATTGTGTGTGTGTAATGATAATCATTGTTTTATTTTTTTTTTCTTTTCAATTTTTTTATTTTTTTTTTTTTAAATCAGCATGAATTAAATTTAATACAACACATACTACATTGTATACTTAGAGTAATTATCATCTGGGATAAAAAAAAAAGTGCTTAATTGTCAATTAAAATAATGTCACAAATGATCTTTCACAGGAATACCTTCATGCAAATTTCTGTAATGTAATGAAAGTCATTCTTTCTAGGCCAATTTCTAGCTCTATATAAATAATATGTATTTTTTTATTGCAGGCTCAGATCGCGTTCCTGCAGGGTGAGAGGAAAGGCCAGGAGAACCTGAAGAAGGATCTGGTGAGACGGATAAAGATGCTGGAATACGCTCTCAAACAGGAGCGGTCAGTAAACACACACATTTCAATCATTTACGCACGTCTGTGTGAACACGGCCATTATTTAGCCTGACTGCAGGGAGCGAGGCGCGTTTGAAGTTTATTTGATGATGACGGGAAAATAATGACGGACCCTAAATTAGCCCAGTCCTCATGAAGCAGGATAACACACATGCAGCGCTTTCTGTCAGGATTTCATGCTTTTGTCACGTCATGAAGCAGCTTCTTAGTTTAGTTGTTTAAAGTTACCAAGCTTTAATACTGAATTCATCTGATGTGCATCACTGGTGTGTGCTTTATGGCTTTGAATGAAGCTCTTTTAATCGGAATTTACAGTCAAAACTATCTGTAAAATAATAGTAGATTTGCTGTTTTCAGTCTTTTTCTCCTTAAATCAAATGCTAGTAGCTGTTGTTTTGTTAATTGATTTAACTATTGATTTTTTTTTCTCCGATTAATTGGATGAAAAAGTGCAATTTAAAAAATAAAACGAATATGTGTTTAAAAATAGTTTAAATTAAAACAGTTTTAACAAATGAAATTAATTTATATTTTAAAAAATAATTTAAATTTAAAGAATTGTAATAAAATGAATATATATTTTAATTGTAAACTACATTGTATACTTAGAGTAATTATCATCTGGGATAAAAAAAAAAGTGCTTAATTGTCAATTAAAATAATGTCACAAATGATCTTTCACAGGAATACCTTCATGCAAATTTCTGTAATGTAATGAAAGTCATTCTTTCTAGGCCAATTTCTAGCTCTATATAAATAATATGTATTTTTTTATTGCAGGCTCAGATCGCGTTCCTGCAGGGTGAGAGGAAAGGCCAGGAGAACCTGAAGAAGGATCTGGTGAGACGGATAAAGATGCTGGAATACGCTCTCAAACAGGAGCGGTCAGTAAACACACACATTTCAATCATTTACGCACGTTTGTGTGAACACGGCCATTATTTAGCCTGACTGCAGGGAGCGAAGCGCGTTTGAAGTTTATTTGATGATGACGGGAAAATAATGACGGACCCTAAATTAGCCCAGTCCTCATGAAGCAGGATAACACACATGCAGCGCTTTCTGTCAGGATTTCATGCTTTTGTCACGTCATGAAGCAGCTTCTTAGTTTAGTTGTTTAAAGTTACCAAGCTTTAATACTGAATTCATCTGATGTGCATCACTGGTGTGTGCTTTATGGCTTTGAATGAAGCTCTTTTAATCGGAATTTACAGTCAAAACTATCTGTAAAATAATAGTAGATTTGCTGTTTTCAGTCTTTTTCTCCTTAAATCAAATGCTAGTAGCTGTTGTTTTGTTAATTGATTTAACTATTGATTTTTTTTTCTCCGATTAATTGGATGAAAAAGTGCAATTTAAAAAATAAAACGAATATGTGTTTAAAAATAGTTTAAATTAAAACAGTTTTAACAAATGAAATTAATTTATATTTTAAAAAATAATTTAAATTTAAAGAATTGTAATAAAATTAATATATATTTTAATTGTAAACAATTTAAACAAATAAAAATTATATATATTTAAAAAATAATTTTAATTTAAACAATTTTAATAAAATGAATATATATTTTAATTGTAAACCATTTAAACAAATAAAAATAATATATATTTTAAAAAATAATTTAAATTTAAACAATCTTTTAAAAATTAATGAATATATTGGTACCAAGCGGCGTTGCAACTCACCATATTAATTTTGAATTTATCTGATGTGCGTCACTGGTGTCTGTTTTACGGTTTTGAATGAAGCTCATTTAATCTGAATTTAGTCAAATCTGTAGTTTAAAGTTAGATTTCTTATTTTCACTGTTTTTCTCCTTAAATCAAATGCTAGTAGCTGTTACTTTATTAATCGATTAATCTATTGATTATTTCTCAGATTAATTGGAAGAAAGAGTGCAATTTAAAAAATAAAATGAATATATATTTTTTTTTTTAATTACATTTAAAAATGTTAAAAATAAAACAAATATGTATTTAAAAATAATTTAAACTTAATCATTTTTTTTTTTACATTTACATTGTTAACAAGCAACATTGCAACTCGCCGCATTAATATTGAATTAATCTGTGATAAATTATTTGTTTTCTTTTTTTCAGTCTTATGTCTTTAAATCAAGAGTATAGCTATACATAAGTATTATTTTGTTAATCAGTTAATCTATTGATTATTTCTCAGATTAACTGGATGAAAAAGCAACTTTTTTTTTTTTTTTTTTTACTTCCTGCCCATGTTCTCCTTTAATGCAATGTGCATATTGCTGTCAAATGAATATATATTGGTTAATGCACATGCATGCATGTTTAACAATGACTTGCAAGCTGTCAGGACAATTTATATGCAGAATGCAAATCCTCATGTTTTATTATTATTAACAGAAGAATGTAAGTTATGCGCTGGATTAAAGCCCCTGATAGCATCAGATTTGGCAGAAATGCATTAATGTTTGGTTTGAGGAATGTGAGGTGATTCCTAGAGTTCAGTCTGATTTCCCGTGTCATTCGGCTGATCCCATCAAGACTTCTCACATTCGTCCCACACGAGGTGCTGTCGCCGTGGCAACAGAAGCACTGAACCTGCACTGTGTCTCTCTCCTCCGCAGGGCCAAACACCACAAGCTGAAGTACGGGACGGAGCTCAACCAGGGAGACATGAAGCCACCCAGCTACGACTCGGGTAAACACCAGCATCTCCCTCAGATTCAAGCTGCTCACAGTTTCTGCGACACGAGCAGCAACGAGAAATGCTATATATATATATATATATATAATTCCAGGTTTTCTGTGCTTGCTTGTAAGACTTCACAATTTGGCCAAAAATTATTATTAATTAAAAATAAGATTACAAAATAAAAATAAAACAGGAAATAATACTAGTGTAATGTTTCATTTTGAGTTGAAAAAAATCTATAATAATAATAATACAAATAATTGTATTTTACATTTTGACTGCAATTTGATGTGTGATTGGAAAAAAAAAAAAAAAAAGAGTCTGTGGGTGATCGG